GAAGCTATACAGAGTTTGCTAAAATTCTAATTTTATCCTCCAGAAGAGGCAGAATCTATATTACAGCAAATAATATGGCTAAACTTCAATGTACTGAGAGAGATGTATAAGAAAAGTATCATGTTTATGAATGCAAACAACGACGGTAGAATTATGTCATACAACCAATTAATCCAGGTGTATGGAGATGTATGCTCAATACAAAATTATAACCAACTCATCGCAGCTCTGCCACAAAAATGGAAAAGGCAATGAATTAGTTTGTCTGCCACCAATAAAAAATCCTAAATAGCTTAAAATGACTCATATACATTGTAAAATGTATCAGTTTCACTTACGGTCAAGAGGGTTGACAACTATGCCGCATAAAATACAGATTTTCAATGTCCCAATACCATGGCATCGGGTTTATGAACTGATATACAAAACAACAATTGAGGCATCAATTAGTTATTTTCAATTTAAGCTATTATATAAAATTCTCACTCCAAAAAGAATGCTCAGTATATGGGGTATTCAACAGTCTAACTGGTGCAGAAACAGAATCAATAGCGCATCTCTTTTGGTACTGTCCATCGGGGGCTTGCTTTTGGAGTCAGGTCCAGGAATGGATTTTATGTCATAAGATCAGGGTGCGTTTGGACCTGCAAACTGTATTGCTGGGGGATTTGAAGGACCACAGTCAGTCAATAGGAAAAATAATTGTGCTCTTTGGCTAAATTGATTATTTGGGGGGAAATTTCGGCAGAAATGCTGCAGGTGGGGAGGTTCAAGTCCCTAGTGAGAACATGGGAGAATGGAGGGATGTATTGCGATAGGAAATTGTAGAATTATGACTTATTGGGAAAGATGGGTTGATCTGTGGCTGTCCGAAGGGTGGAATTGATGGAATAATTATATACACAAATGTACAGTGTAAATGTTTGAGTTGTATTGTATGTTTTGTGTTTCGCTATTTATGTTTTGTGGTTTGGTTTCATGTTGTGAGCGGTGTGTGTGCTGGTCCTGGTAGTTATGGGTGCGCTCTTTTCCATGCCCGCCCGGGCGTCGGGCAGGGATTGGATTTCCCACCTTTGGAAAATCCCTTTGGGCCGGGGGCGGGGCCTTGCCGGTGTCTCTGGTCAGGTGGGGGGCGAGTGCCCCCTCTGACCAGAGCACTCACTGATGGGAGCAGCAATTTTTTATTGTCTGTATTGGATTGGATTATTGTTTGAAATAAAAAATATATAAAAAATTATAAAACATCCACTCACAGACCTACGATCACTAACTCTCCAAAGTTCCACATCTCTGGCCTTTAGTCGGAATCATGATAACATCCCTGATACTTTGCATTTTCTCTCAGTAACGCATTTGAATAATAAAACGACACAGGTGTCCTTTCCCCATTTATCATGGAAATGAAGTGTTCGTCATCTCCATAATTAATGGGTGATATTAGTAAATCTTCTACATACCAGCAGCTCATTTCAGAGACACTGCTGTCACAAAAGATCAGCACTAAAGTGCACAGACATTATAATGGCTGCTACAGTACAGTATCTTTCATCTAGCAGCTAGCCGCCCTTTCCTTCTAACCCTATTGGGAACTGGTAGAGTCAGTCACCCACTGGCTACGAAGCTATTTCCATCCACTTATCTGCTGCTGCTTGACAATCAAAACTCTAATGACTATCAGCGAGTTACGTGAAGGACACCGCAAGTGGCGGTTGGGCGTAGCAAGGAACTCGCTAATATGTCACAGTCACACTCTAAAATGGCTATTCGATTTTCATAATACTGTTTTCACCAGAGCTCAGTGGGTTCAGCACACTGTCTGCCATATTGGCACCAAATGCTCCGTGCTATTACATTTACTCAGTCCTCTAGGGCCGCAGTGGAGTGAGGAGGTGTGTTCAGCTGGGGGGATCCTAATAAAATACTAGGGCTTCACTCAATGGGCTTCACTTACATGTGATGTGTGTGTGTGTGTGTGTGTGTGTGTGTGTGTGTGTGTGTGTGTATGTGAGAGAGAGACTATGCACGTCTTTGTGTGTGAGACTTTACGCATGTGTCTGTGTGTGCAAATTAGCTTTTCCATCATACTGTCTGCTTGCAGTTATTGTAGCATAGCAGAACTTAGATTACTGCATCACTGGACTTATAACACTGATTTGAACAATTTGATTTGATACATTGTTAATATCAGTGTCATATGCACCCAGTCAGCAATTCTGGTGCCTGTAACTGTATTTAGACATAGCCTATTTAAAACAAGTTGTGGTTTCAATTTGATTAGAATTTTAGGCCTTATCAATAGTGAATTTAATCTTGCTTATTGACAACGGTTGGCATGTCCATGGCATGTCCACGGAACCTGGAACGAAAGTGATCCAAACTGTTCCGGAACAGAACCGTTATTTTAAAAGCATGGGAGCCGGTTAATAATGTTATTTTACGTTCCAGGCATTTTTTTCTAGTCCCACAACAAAATGCAACAAAGCGCATATGCAAAGTGTATTTAAGATACCTGCCCGTCCCCCCTCCGAATCATAGGCTACTGTACTGACATTACAAGCTTGATTCAGAAGATCGGGAGACTAATTTTCTATTAGCTAGAGAAGAATGGATTAACTTATTAAATGCTAGTTAAGGATACTATAGGGCTAGTTATCACGTTTAATTTCGTTGGATTTATTAACTACAATAAAATAAGACGTGTTTTTAATTCTGGTGCCGCTCTGCACACACAAGCTTGTTAGCTAGCTAGTTCAAAGGACATTCAAATATTAAGGCAACACAGACTATGGAGGGTTTCACGCATATCCAAACTTTTCACAGAAGCTGGACAAAGATATAATATAAAGAGAAAGGGAGAATGTCCACTCACTGCTCCCAAATATATTTGTTTTATAAACATAATGGAACCATCTTACAGATCACATTAACACGTTCTCATCATAAAGCCAGGACGGCGAATATTCTAAGAAATTTGGTTTTTAATCAAATTAAACGAGAATCAAGCAATATGTATTTATTTTTTTAACAAAAACTATTTCTTAGTAGGTTGAGGTGAGAAGCATGATATCATAAAATCTGCAAGATGAAAAAGACTTGATGCATTGCTGTTGAATCAGCCTTCGTTATAGTAGCCTAGGCCCAGGTTAAAGGAGGGAGGGCTTGGTTTTGGAGGGCTTGGTTTTGGAGGGCTTGGTTTTGGAGGGCTTGGTTTTTAATCATATGAAATGGAAAACAAGCAATTGTTACAGCAAAATGACTTCTAAATAAAAGCGTCACCATCATCATCTAATCTCTTGTTTCATGATGGCATATGGACACATGTAGCCTACATGGATATTTTTTTTTACGCACCTCCAAAACTGGAGCTTGCAAAAAATGATGCAGGCCTACAATACAGCGACAAAGAGGGGATGTCCTCACTGTTTTGCTTCTCCCAAACTTGATCTTTTAATAAAGCTTTGGTGATTATAGGGATAATCCACCCTCAGCGTTCAACACCATAGTGCCCACAAAGCTCATCGCTAAGCTAAGGACCCTGGGACTAAACACCTTCCTCTGCAACTAGATCCTGGACTTCCTGACGGGCCACCCCCAGGTGATAAGGGCAGGCAACAACACATCTGCCAAGCTGATCCTCAACACACGGGCCCCTCAGGGGTGCGTGCTTAGTCCCCTCCCGTACTCCCTGTTCACCCATGACTGCGTGGCCAAGCACGACTCCAACACCATCATTAAGTTTGCTGACGAAACAACAGTGGTAGGCCTGATCACAGCCAACAATGCGACAGCCTATAGGGAGGAGGTCAGAGACCTGGCAGTGTAGTGCCAGGACAACAACCTCTACCTCAATGTGAGCAAGACAAAGGAGCTGATCGTGGACTACAGGAAAAGGAGGGCCGAACAGGCCCCCATTAACATCGATGGGGCTGTAGTGGAGCGGGTCGAGAGTTTCAAGTTCCTTGGTGTCCACATCACCAACGAACTATCACGGTTCAAACACACCAAGACAGTTGTGAAGAGGGCACGACAACACCTTTTCCCCCTCAGGAGACTGAAAAGATTTGGCATGGGTCCCCAGATCCTCAGAAAGTTCTACAGCTGCACCATCGAGAGCATCCTGACCGGATGCATCACTGCCTGGTATGGCAACTGCTCAGCATCTGACCGTAAGGCGCTACAGAGGGTAGTGCGTACGGCCCAGTACATCACTGAGGCCAAGTTTCCTGCCATCCAGGACCTATAACACTAGGCGGTGTCAGAGGAAGGCCCAATAAATTGTCAAATACTCCAGTCACCCAAGTCATAGACTGTTCTCTCTGCTTCCGCACAGCAAGCAGTACCGGCGCGCAAAGTCTAGGTCCAAAAGGCTCCTTAACAGCTTCTACCCCCAAGCCATAAGACTGCTGAACACTTAATCAAATGGCCACCCAGACTATTTACATCTAGTGGAAAGCCTTCCCAGAAAAGTGGAGGCTGTTATAGCAGCAAAGGGGGGGACCAACTCCATATTAATGCCCATGATTTCGAAAGAGATGTTCGACAAGCAGGTGCTCACATACTTTTGGTCATGTAGTGTATTAGACAGGTAAATCGACGAACCTGGCGCAAGGGGTCGAAAATGCCAGAGCGCCAGTTTTTACATGGCGAAATTGCCAATGAAAAACTAAATACAATTTCAAAAGCTACAAATACAAATAGTTGTGATTAAATTAATCAATAAAGTAGTACACAACAATTCATTACAAGACTTGCACCGCCTTAGCGCCAGCCGAAAATAGAGCCCCCAATATGTTGGGCTTCATTATCTAAACCTCTGATACTGTGGACAACCTCCACACAACCTCCAGTCAACCTGCAGACAACACCCTACACAGCTAATCTAAGCAGTGTCCAGCCATCTACCAAGGATCAACTACAAAAATACCACAATTATTTATGCGCTTTCTGATCAGGCAGAGGGTGTCCACCAGAGCGTGTTTTGTTTATGCAGAATGTGTCTATTTCTGTCCCACCTCAGGTCTGACGGGGTCCTCGATGCCGACCACACAGATGCAGGTGAGCTCGTCGAGGATGTCGGCCTCATTGTCCCAGTCTGGTTCTCCTGCCTCGGCAGGGAAGTCCCTGTAGGCCACACAGATTGTCCTCAGACCGTCACAGGCCATGGGCTCAATCACGTTCTTCACCATCTCATCACGGTCCTTAGGCTTGAAGATACGTGGCTCCCCGTTCATGTTCAGGATATGTGAACATCTAGAGAGGGAAGGGGGAGAGATGTTTGCCAACTTACTCATAATGTATTATCACATCACAGATGATCAACTCTTTCTGTTTGTCTATCTCTGTGTATCCATTCATCAATGAAAGACATGACCAATCTCCCTCCCACCCGTCCGTACTTGCGTAGGACGATCTCGGACGCTCCCTTGCTGTACATGCGGAAGCCGCTACCGTCTGTGTTCTTCAACACCGTGCTCATGCTCTTACGGGACGAGTTGAAGGTGTACACCTGGAAACACACCATTCAGTTATAACTATCATAATATCACAATATACTATATTACTATAGTACAGTAGTTTGTGTATAAGTTAGCTCTCTGTAGGAATAAGGGGCAGTAGGTTTTTGAACATTTAGTCTTGGGGCCACAGGGAACAAACACACACACACACCCAATATATATACACACAATTTATATATACATATATATATTAGATATATAAGTTAAAGATTGCACCATTAATGTCATTGATACATTTTGAAGCAGCTACACACCTTGTACAGATTCTCCTCAGGAATCTCGTCCCTGATTGGCTGGTAGTCTCTCTTCAGCGCCAGCACGAAGCCCAATAGGGAGCACTCGGTCTTGTTGCCGACGTGGCGGGGCAGACCTCCCTCCTTCTCTGGGGACTGGAGTAACAAACAAAACATTACACATACCCTACATACTGTATGCTACCAACATGTATAGTTCATGAAGACATACAGTAAAAGGAACATTGAGATATGCATCATATAGAGTGTAAAAGATACCATGTAGAAATGCACTAGAGAAGAAGACACTGCTTTTGTATGGATGTGCGCACACTGTGTAGAGATCGATATGTTGGGGCGCTACGCTCCAAGGAACTATTCCGAAGGGCTATTTAAAGCCTGTGTCTTCAATCTTGTGTGATGATCTAAAGTGGTATTGATGGGCTGATGAATGAATGGGATGGAAGGCAGCGTCATTTTTCTGAAATTCCATTATGGACCATTACTGAAGACTGGGACGATATTAGCGTGTGCTTCATGTCTGTGTGTTTGTGTGTGTGTGTGTGTGTGTGTGTGTATGTGTGTGTTTGTGATAGTAAGCGGTGAAGGTTTATCGTGAGTGCTTGTTCAATTTGAGGTTGCGTGTGTGGGTCTCTCTCTTACCAGGATCTTAGTAGTATAGGCTGAGTTGATGGCGATGCTGTTGACCATGACTTCAAGTGTGGATGGTTTGATGACGTCAGGTTCCGGTACTTTTTTGTAGTGTGTGTCTCCCAAGTAGGCCTGCACCACGGTCATACGGTTCATGGTGAGGGTGCCTGTCTTGTCGGAGCAGATGGTCGTAGCGTTCCCCATGGTCTCACACGCATCCAGGTGACGCACTAGGTTGTTGTCTTTCATCATTTTCTAAACAGGAGACAAGACAGACAGTAGAGGTTAGAGCTGTGTGTGTGTTCATGAGTGTATGTGACAGAGTAAGTCTGGAAGATGGTGACAGCAAGCGGCAGCCCCTTTGGCACTGCCACTACCAGCATCGTGTGTGTGCGCACACGCGTCTCTCTGTGTGTGTACCTTGACAGAGTAGGCCAGGGAGATAGTGACGGCTAGGGGCAGCCCCTCAGGCACAGCCACCACCAGGACAGTGACTCCGATGATGAAGAACTTGACAAAGTACTGGATGTAGATGGGGGTACACTCCTTCAGCCATGGACGACCCTGCACCCCGAATGTGTCAATCACGAAGAACAGGATGAGAATGATCACCGTCACAGCTGACATGATCAGACCTGGGCATAGGAAACAACAATGTGTATCAGGGTCCAACTGTTTTTAAGACCTTCTCTGTCCTTATCTGCCTTCCCAATCTGCATGGTCTGTCTCTGTGTGTGTGCGCTAGTGTTTCCGTGATACCAGAATTTTTTCTCAGAGTTTAGTATCAGGATACTCGATCCCATCACAACACCAGATACCAAAACAATACCACGGCAAAAAAAAGAAGGCGTATTAGCCAAAGTCACAGAATGGCACTTCCAAACAGATCTTTTGAGGTCAACATCATTAAAATGTGTTATTTTTGAAAGTATGCATTAAAGAATCAATTATACAATCTAACTACATAACAATATAATGGTAATCATTTATTTAAATTGTAAATCTCTATTGATAAACTGGGTAAATCAAGATGTAGCCTAGGCCTATTCACAATACAGGTGAATGCATATTCAATAGGAGTGTGTGCAAGCATTGAGTTATTGAGCTTGTGTGATGGAAATGTTCTCTGTGTGTATCAGATCGTATGTTTAGAATAATGCTGCTTTGTAATTACATGTCTTAGTTGGGTTCATGCGAGTGAAGGGTTGACTACACACAGGAGTACACCTGCATTACTAGCTGTTTGGGGGTTTTAGGCTGGGTTTCTGTACAGCACTTCGAGATATTAGCTGATGTAAGAAGGGCTATATAAAATAAAATTGATTGATTGATTGATTGAGTAAACCAGAATATCACTGATAAGCAATTTGGCAGTACGCCCAGAACATTGCTCTGGGATCAAGGAGTATCTCATTTTCAAGGTCTCAGCTTTGAGAGAAGAAGCCTTGTGAGGTATCAGTCAGTCAAATGCAGGAACCAACGTTAATAATGAATAATGTAAATCATGCTTATATGACTTGTTTGTGTAGCAGTATATAAGGACTGAAAGGGAACGCCCTTGTCAGAGTTTTCATCAAGCTTTTATTGAGTTTGTGAACCTCTCCAGTTAACTGATAATAAAGAGTGATTCATTTAATATTGACTTCAAGTGTCACTGGTGTTGAATTTCCACCACACTAGTTTTGGGTGATTTCATGCGGCTACAGATGAAAAACAATCTGTTTCCATTTGGGACTTATTGTATTGTACTGATCAAGAACATTTGCATAGAAGAAGAAATCTCTTCTTTGAGTCCCATGACGTCATTCACACACACAGTTCGAGGCTCAAGCAAAGATCATCTTGACTGGGAGAGACGTGAGGCAGGGGAGACTAATGAATGAATAAAGTTTTGGTCACAATCAGCTTTTAAAATCAGCAATATTTTGCGTTATGGTTTGCATATTTTTACAAATAAGGTACTAGGGTAGTAAATTGATGTTAGCTTCAGCTGTACAGTGCCTTCAGAAAGTATTCATACCCCTTGTTTTATTCCAATTTGTTGTGTTACAACCTTGAACTCAGAATGGATTAAATAGGTATTTTTTCTCACCAATCTACACACGATACATAATGACAAAGTGAAAACATGGTTTTAGAAATGTTTGCAAATGTATTGAAAATGAAATACAGAAATATATAATTTACATAAGTATTCACACCCCTGAGTCAACACATGTTAAAATCACCTTTGGCAGTGATTACAGCTGTGAGTCTTTCTGGGTAAGTCTCTAAGAGCTTTGCACACCTGGATTGTCAGTATTTGCCCATTATTCTTTCCAAAATTCTTCAAGCTCTGTCAAATTGGTTGTTGATCATTGCTACACAACCATTTTCAAGTCTTGCCATAGATTTTCAAGGAGATTTAAGTCAAAACTGTAACTCAGCCACTCAGGAACATTCACTGTCTTCTTGGTAAGCAACTCTAGTGTAGATTTGGCCGTGTGTTTTAGGTTATTGTCCTGCTGAAGGTGAAATCATCTCCCAGTGTCTGGTGGAAAGCAGACTGAACCAGGCTTTCCTCTAGAATTTTGCCATTAATTTTTTTATCCTGAAAAACTCCCCAGTCCTTAATGATTACAAGCATACCCATACCATGATGCAGCCACCACTATGCATGAAAATATTGAAAGAGTGGTACTCAGTAATGTGTTGTATTGGATTTGCCCCAAACATAACACTGTATTCAGGACAAAAAGTTATTTGCTTTTACAATTTTTTTGCAGTATTACTTCAGTGCCTTGTTGCAAACAGGATGCTTGTTCTGGAATATTTGTTATTCTCTACATCCTTCCTTCTTTCAATTTCATTCTAAAATTGCATTTATTGTCCCTCCCAGTTTTATCATTGGAATGTGATACAAAACGAGGCAACGGTGTGCTATAGGACCATGTGGACGCCTCCGAGCGGTCGGGTAGGCTGTTTGGAGTGTTTGTCCAACTGAAGAAAAAGAAAAAATACTACAAATATATATACACCACCGGTCAAAAGTTTTTGTCTTTGTGAGATGCGGTATGGGTGAACGGATGATCTCCGCATGTGGGAAATCCTTCAAGACTGTTGGAAAAGCATTCCAGGTGAAGCTGGTTGAGAGAATGCCAAGAGTGTGCAAAGCTGTCATCAAAGCAAAGAGTGGCTATTTGAAGAATCTCAATATTTTTTGGTTCCTACATGATTCCATATGTGTTATTTCATAGTTTTGATGTCTTCACTATTATTCTACAATGTAGAAAATAGTAAAAAGAAAAGAAAAGCCCTTGAATGAGTAGGTGTTCTAAAACTTTTGACCAGTAGTGTATATGTCCCCCCCCACTTCTAAAACCAAAGTTGCGCCCCTGGTTGAATCTGTGTTTGAAATTCACTGCTGGACTTAGGGACCTTGTATGTGTGGGTTACAGAGATGAGGTAGTCATTCAAAAATAATTTGAACCACCATTATTGCACAGAGTGCCATAACAAAGGGGTTGTATACTTATTGACTCAAGACATTTCAGCTTTGTATTTTTTATTAATTTGTATTTTTTTTTTTAATGGGGTATTGTTTGTAGGCCAGTGACAAAAAAATCTCAATTTAATCTATTTTAAATTCAGGCTGCAACATGTGGAAAAATTCAAGGGGTGTGAATACTTTCTGAAGGCACTATGCTGAACCTCTCTCAGTAGACGGCGTGAGACACAGAAGTACAGAAAGTAACACAAATTCTAATACCGAACCGTTTTCTATGTTCTAGTATCGAAAAAGTACAGATGTTTTGGTATACCGTGCAACACTAGTGTGCGCGCGTCTCTATCTATATCTGTTAATGTCCGTCTGTGTGTCCATGCGTGTGTATATCTCCGTCTCTGTCCTCACCTGCCTTCCCGATCTGTACGGCCAGTTTGGTGAGTTTGCCCTGCAGCACAGACTTCTCCTTCTTGTTGACCTGAACCTTCTTCACCCGTTTCACCTCCACCTCAGGCTCCTTCTCCTCAGACTCAGCCGCCTCGTTACTCTTCAGGGGCTGGATCTCCAGGGCAATGCCATCCTGGGTCTTAGCTATTGGACATGGTAAAGGGATGGGGAAGAGGGATGGGTGGGATAGAGGGAGGGGGTTAAGGGAGGTGTGGTAGAGGGAGGTGGAAGTTGGGAGGAGGGGAGCATTTAGTGGTGGTGGGGAGAAGGTTTGGGGGGGGTTAAGATAGTGATAAGAGGTTGAAGATGGTTGGTGGTGAGGTTTTGATGGGTTGGGGTGAGGAGCAGGAACAGGAAGGGGATCAAGGAAGGGTTGGGGTGAAGGGTAGAGAGACACAGAGAAGTTGTGGTTCAGTTACGGTTGGAAGAGAGACAGACACACAGTCAGTCACCAAACCCCCAGACTCAGGTCCTGAACAGTGATCCACAGGACCAACTCAGCTGTGGATCCCTTAGATCTCTTTAACCAGAACAGATCCATTAAGGTGATCAACACAGATGTTACTATGTGTTGTTACCTGTCAGTTTGATGGAGAGTTCAGCAATGTCATTTATTCTTCATTAAAGGAAAATTAGTATAAAAAGTTTTATCAACTGATTGTTTAAATACTCTAATACATAACTGAAACATTATGAAAGAAGGAAGGTATTGGAAAGAGTAAACACATAGCACAGAATTCAGCAGGAAATGCTTGAGATAAAATAAAGGATTTAATGATACAAAACTGATTTGAAGCAGCAATTTAACAATATACAACTTGTCCCAGAGTCTATGGAGACATTTTTACAGCATACACAGAGAATAAATTCAGAACAAGAGATACAGGTTGTACATTTTACAATGGTTCCTTGTCAGGGGATTGTCAACTGAACATATTTCATCTCTGCTACAGAGCTCAGTCATGTTTTACATAAACAAATATGAAATTTGCATTTCACCACTTCAACAGCTTAGATTTGCTTTGTTTGTTCTCTGGGAGCATTGTGATCTCTGTGTTTCATCTTCATACTGTTAACAACCTGGCACTGCAACTAGTCACTATATCTATTTTACAGTATAAATAATCCACAATATCTAAGGGCGAGTATAATAAAGGTGATAAAGTAATGGATGAATAAAGATATCAGTATTCTATGGTAATCAGTGCCTTATGCATACTTTTGAATTCCATTTGTGGCCCATGCAACACTTAACACTAGTCAGTAAACACAAAAGCAGTACATTCACAATCTAGCAGGATCATTTTGTACCGTCTACTTATGTTTTGCCTTGATAATATGACTTTACATGAGTCCCCCTGTGTTGAGCAAACAGGCCACCAGTCTCAACACAAAACCAATTAGAACAGACCCGAATAAACACAGCCACACACTGACTGGACTGGCAGACGGACGAACGGACGGACTCACGCACAGCACTTACAAACGCAGCACGGACCACGACGAAGAAGGGGGCGAGTGTGTGTCACGAAGAAAAAAAACAAGTCAACAAACAAAGAAACCGACAAACTGCAAAAAGATACCCAAAAAACCAAGCAGAGCGATACAACCACCACAAAAATAGAAGGAGGGTAAGAAGAGGTAGAAGAGGAGGCTGCAAATCTCCAGAGGTGTTTTTTTTTTAGCGAAAGACAGAGAGAGAGAGAAAGAAAGAGGTAAAACAGTGATTGTGAGGAGTACGAGACAGCATGAGGTCCTGAGCAACATCCTGGAAAGAGGCAACAGTGAGAGAAATTAAAGAAAGAAAATAAACAGAATACAAAAACAGAACAGAACAGACAACAGTCCACAGCCAATTGATAATGTCAGGGTGCAATTCCCACACTGAGCCACTTCCCAAAGCTAACGCAGTCTCCCTAACCCCTAGAGATTCTAGTTCTAGTGTTAGCATTAGATAGAATAGTAGAATGTCTATTAGAATTCTGTTAAGATCCCTTCTCTTTTACACTAAGCCCAATCACTACTACCAAATTCCCAGATCCTTGAAACGTATTTGGAGCATGGTATCAGGGGTCCTACAACTCCCATTCCATTTACTCTCAAGAGCCAGAGATGACTTGGCGTCCATAAAGCTACACTGTGTTCACTACTCAATTAAAATAAGTATGTAGACATTTTCAGAATATGATATGTTGTGAAGTGAATGCAGGTTGGGTCGACATGTCCCAATTCATATTTCTACATGCTAGAAAGGAGAGAAGCTGTTTACTAGTTATAAAGTCCAAGGGCGAGGGGAAGGAGAGGGCAGGAGGGCTGTGGATGTGAGGGGGGGGGTCTGTAAGTAGCAGATGCTCAGGCCCTGGGAGGCTGGGGGAGGGTAGGGTGTGTGAGGAGGGAGGCGGGGGGGACACAGCTTGGATGAGTTCTGAATGACACGCCACATAGAGGGTGGGAGGGTGGACCGTCCAGGCCAGGCAAGCTGGAAGAGCTACAACACCCAGGTCCTTATTAAATGTATCTGACCTCTCCACATCTGACACACACACAAACACAAACAAACATGTACCCTCACATGCATGTGGTTAGTCTCATTGAGATAAAAAAAATGTATGTGGCATGTTTCTTTTCAATCTCAACATAGCATGTGAGGATGGTGAAACTTCTAGAACTAACCCTTCTGCAGCTCTGTGAGCGAGATAAAGCTAACCCCATTTAGCTCTACAAGGGATACAAATCTACTGGAGTTGTTGTGTTATTTTAACCCCATATAGCGCTGAAGGATATAACTGTAGTCAACAACAGTAGTGCTGAATGCTAACCCTAGCTAACTTAGTGATTGATTGGGTCTGCTAAGGTAGCATTGACGGCCAGTGGCAGGTGAGAGTTGCATCCTTTCACAGGTAAAGCGAGGCGAGAAGAACCTCCCCTTTTCAGCAGGTGGAGGGAAGCGAGAGTGAGAGAGAGAGGGAGAGTGTGAGACAAAAAAGACAGAGTGAGACTGACACGAGACTCCCAGACTGCTGCTGAATGGAGGGGGGAGGGAGGGCTGGAGGGAAGGGTTACCTTTGTTGCGATTTTCGGGGGGTCCTTGTTTTTTACCTGTTCAGACAGAGAGAGAGAATGCGGAATGCTGACAACATGGCTTAAAGGAAATAAAAAATCATAAAACCAAACAGAACAGAAGTTCAAAACAATATAAATTCACATGTGTGTTGGGGGCTGGAACGGGCCATTAGAGGAGAGAGAGAGCACTAGTTGGTTTAAGGCTGTAGAGTAAAGTAGAGCATCCACCCATAGACAGTAGGTCTGTTACTGACGACTGGTTACACTGGGCTCTTGTCTGTTTCAATCAATACATGTGTAACTAACGGCAGTAAGTTTATAAAAACACATGCGCGCACACACACACACACACCCCATCCATTCACTCATGCCCCTGTCTTGACATTCAGGGAAGCAGTCATTTCAGATTGATGTCAGACAGAGGAAGAGGCTGCACTGCCGCAGGTGTTTTTCTCCTTCTGCCTGAGAGTGGTGGTGAAGGGAGCAGTGTGTGTGTGTGTGTGTGTGTGTGTGTGTGTGTGTGTGTGTGTGTGTGTGTGTGTGTGTGTGTGTGTGTGTGTGTGTGTGTGTGTGTGTGTGTGTGTGTGTGTGTGTGTGTGTGTGTGTGTGTGTGTATGTGTCAGTTCAAGGTGTGTGTAGCCCTGAAAGGGGGGGGGGGGGGGGGTGTCTGTGGAGATCAGTTGTGTGTGTGTGTGTGTGTGTGTGTGTGTGTGTGTGTGTGCGTGTGTGTGTGTGTGTGTGTGTGTGTGTGTGTGTGTGTGTGTGTGTCAGTTCAAGGTGTGTGTAGCCCTGAAAGAGGGGGGGGGGGGGGGGGGGGGAGTATGTGGAGATCAGTTGTGTGTGTGTGTAGCATTTGTCAGCTGAGCAGCAAAATACCCTGAAGCCTCAGTCAGCCAGTCTCTGCCCCATCCTCTGCTCTCTGAGTCACTGTATCAGTATGTGTCTCTGGCAGAGGTGTGTGTGTACGTGTTTGACTGTGTGTGTGTGTGTGTGTTAGTGTGAGTGCGTGAAGGGGAAGTGTATGTGCATGAGTGAGCGTATGGGAGGTGAGAGTGTGTGCGAATGTGAGGGGGCAGTGTGGGAGTGTGTGTGTGGAGTGGAGGTGACACAGCACTTAACAGCAGTCTGCTCTCTGTTTCCATCCTCTCTGTACACACCTGTCTCAGAGGAAGACAGCCATTTCAACACCTAGTGTGTGTGCCTGTGTTGCAGCCAGTGTGTGTGTGTGTGTGTGTGTGTGTGTGTGTGTGTGTGTGTGTGTGTGTGTGTGTGTGTGTGTGTGTGTGTGTTTCTAGCCTGTACTTGCTCTGATCTACTTTCTTATAAACCCATAACATTAAGATTGTGGTGGTGGTGCTCTGCGGTTTCATGAACAATTTAAATCACAGTCTAATTCTGTGATGACATGAGATGCCAATTGGAATGAGTTGTTGCCTTGCAGCTCCCTCCTCTGAGCTGGCGCATTCAGCCCCTTTAGAATGAATGCCTGAAGAACTGAAATCTTAGCAAAAAACTCTTACCAAACAGAAAAGAAGACGCAGTGAAGTGTTAGTACGGAACACACGCTCATTAGAGACCATATTGATAGATACACAGATCAATTGTATTGGGAGGCCTGTGTTGTTTAATGTGATCATATCTATTCACAAGCTTCACCACATCAAGTCCTTCGAGAGGTGGATACATGACAGAGGTTGAACACATAAAGTGATGTCACCCTTTTAGCTCTTCTTACTTCAGCGCCTGTGATGTCATAGATTTAATAGAACAGATACGAAAGGGAGGGAGGGATGAAGTATGAACATGTATGCACTCACTAAACTGTAAGTCACTCTGGATAAGAGCGTCTGCTAAATGACTAAAAAGTAAATGTAATGAAGGAGTGGAGAATGAAAATCTTTTTTTTCCTGACAGTAAGTCTGTGGTACGGACATAGATTGACCACCAATTCGTCCATGAACAGAACCACTTCTGGGAAGGAGTGGTCTAGAAAGGGCATTGGCTTGGATGTGAAATCTAACACCAGGGATTCGATAAATAAGGATAGGACAGAGATGTCAATGAAACTGAGCATTCAGAACCTCTGGCCTCCATAGTACAGTGTCTATCATGGCTCTCCCAATCCTCTTTACATAATTCTAGAGTTCAACTGACTGTAGTTACTCATCCTCCCACCAGAATCTTACCTCAGGGAACCAGCAAACAGAGATCTCACGTAGAAAGAGAGAGAGAGCTCGGCAGATAGAAACACGCAGAAAGGAGACCATTTGTAAAAAGCAAGTCACTGACTCTCTGTGAACTGTTACCATGGCGATATGCGTTTGTCATTTTCTCCCTGTTATCTCTCACCTTTCTTGATCTTCTTTTCCTCGTCGCTGTCTCCCGCCCCAAGCAGAGTGAAGATGATTCCAGTCTGGGAGTTGAGACCCACCGCAGACACCACCATTCTGCCTGATCCCTCCATCACATGGGTGCCTGGAGGAAGGAGGGAGGGAAAGAGATAGGACAAGAAGAGATGGGGGAAGGAGAGAGAGAGAGAGAGAGAGAGAGAGATAAGAGAGGATACTAGCACATAAACAGAAAGGTCATGACTGTGCTGTACTGTATGTTTGAATGTCTGTACTGTATGTTTGAATGACTGTACTGCATGTTATTTCATTGTGTCCTCTATTTTCAGTCTCCATATACTGCATCACACGTCTTATGTTATCATTAAAGCTAGAATCCTTAGTTGCTACATATAAATTAGTGATATATACCCATTGATTCGTGAAGAATATAACTTATAAATGCCTCATGAGCTTAGTTCAACTGTCTTACCCCATCAGAACCTAAAGTATAATATTGTTTTACTCCAATGTTTGTAAACAACGTAAATGTAAACAAACTTTGTATAGCATCAAAATATGCTTCAAACTATCATTTTTATATCATGGATGGTCAGTCCTTGCATCCATAGCTCTGTCTATGAATTTGAGAGTGGTTACATTTCTTCAGGCCCATCCTTCAGCTTTTTACAAAAACAGAAGCGGGACGGACGCTTTGTTATTGTTTCAACTGCGGATTCTAGCTTTAAAGGTGCATTAAGTCCAAAAAATGGATGTAGCAACTAAATAAAAGGTCCTGACTGGGATATTGAATGTCTGATAATAGTGATATTATGAACAGCCGCTCTCACCGGACAGCAGCATGGGGTCCTTCTCCAGTGACTTCCTGACTTGGTCTGATTCGCCGGTCAGAGAGCTCTCATCGATCTTCAGGTCATTGCCCTGGATCAGGATACCATCAGCTGGCAGTAGGTCACCTAGGAAACAGTTACACAGTTATATTCCCTACCGTCGTACTTTTGGTCAATGTGTTACCTCATTATATTGGTTCACTGTATCCTGTCTGGGGAATATTACAGCATGTTTAATTGAAGCTAAGTCTCTTACTGTATTTGATCTGAATCATGTCTTACTGTATTTGATCTGAATCATGTCTTACTGTATTTGATCTGAATCATGTCTTACCATGTTTTAACTGAACCATGTCTTATTGCATTTTAACTGAACAATGTCTTACCGTGTTTTAACAGAACCATGTCTTTCCATGATTTAACGGAACCATGTCTTACCGTGTTTTAACTGAACCATGTCTTACCGTGTTTTATCTGAACCATGTCTTACCGTGTTTTATCTGAACCATGTCTTACCGTGTTTTAACTGAACCATGTCTTACAGTGTTTTATCTGAACCATGTCTTACCGTGTTTTATCTGAACCATGTCTTACTGTGTTTTATCTGAACCACGTCTTACCATATTTTTATCTGGACGATGTCTTACAGTGTTTTATCTGAACCATGTCTTACTGTGTTTTATCTGAACCACGTCTTACCATATTTGATCTGGGCGATGTTGTACTGTGTTTTATTTTAACCATGTCTTACCATGTTTTATCTGAACCATGTCTTACCGTGTTTTAACTTAACCATGTTTTACCATATTTTTAACTGAACCATGTCTAACAGCGTTTTAACTGAACCATGTCATACCACATTTTATTTGAACCATGTCTTACCATGTTTTATCTGAACCATGTCTTACCGTGTTTTATCTGAACCATGTCTTACCGTGTTTTATCTGAACCATGTTTTACCGTGTTTTATCTGAACCATGTCTTACCATATTTTATCTGGACGATGTCTTACACTGTTTTATCTGAACCATGTCTTACCACGTTTTATCTGAACCATGTCTTATCACGTTTTATCTGAACCCTGTCTTACCATATTTGATCTGGGCGATGTTGTACTGTGTTTCATCTGAACCATGTCTTACCGTGTTTTATCTGAACCATGTCTTACAGTGTTTTATCTGAACCATGTCTTACCGTATTTTTAACTGAACCATGTCTAACAGCGTTTTAACTGAACCATGTCATACCACATTTTATTTGAACCATGTCTTACCATGTTTTATTTGAACCATGTCTTACCATGTTTTATCTGAACCAGGGGTTACCGTTTTTTATCTGAACCATGTCTTACGTGTTTTATCTGAACCATGTCTTACGTGTTTTATCTGATCCATGTCTTACCGTGTTTTATCTGATCCATGTCTTACCGTATTTCTAACTGAACCATGTCTTACCGTATTTCTAACTGAACCATGTCTTACAGCGTTTTAACTGAACCACGTCTTACAGCATTTTAACTGAACCACGTCTTACAGCGTTTTATTTGAACAATGTCTTACCGCGTTTTATCTGAACCATGTCTTACCGTGTTTTAACTGAACCATGTCTTACTGTGTTTTATCTGAACCATGTCTTACTGTGTTTTATCTGAACCATGTCTTACCATATTTGATCTGGGCGATGCCGTACTGTGTTTTATTTTAACCATGTCTTGCCGTATTTTTTACTGAACCACGTCTTACAGCGTTTTAACTGAACCATGTCTTACCGCGTTTATCTGAACCATGTCTTACCGTGTTTTAACTGAACCACGTCTTACTGTGTTTTATCTGAACCATGTCTTACCATATTTGATCTGGGCGATGTCTCCTGTCACCAGTTCAGACACGGGGATCTGGATGACCTGGCCCTTGCGGATGACGGTGAACTTCTGCTCCTGCTCGATGCGGTTCTGCAGCCCACGGAACTGCTTCTCCTTGCTCCAGTCATTAAACGCTGTCACCAAGACAACGATTGCCACGGAGAACAAGATGGCGGCGCCCTCAATCCAGCCCGCCTGCGCCTCCCCCTCATCCTCCACTCCCGGCGCTGTCTCACCACACACTGGGGAAACCAGAACACAGAGCCAGAACACGACCAGGTTTAATAATAATGTACCAAAACACGACCAGGTCAGTGGAACAGAACTGAAACTCCACCAGGTCAATGAAACAGAACCGCCACACAACCAGGTCAGTGGAACAGGAACAAAACATGACCAAGTGAATAATACAGGACCAAAACACAACTTTTACAACCCCCCAAAAAACACTCTTCATGCCCCAGTCCCTCTCGCACCTTTCCTAACTTCCCCGGGTTAGGGTGTACTACTCACGCTCGCTATCTCCCCCAGGGGGGTGGTAGAATGACAGGCCCAGGGAGATGACGGCAGCAATCTCCAGGATGATGAGAGTAACATCCTGTAGAGCCTCCCACACCAGCGCCAGGAAGGACTTAGGCTTTTTAGGAGGGATGAAGTTCTTCCCAAATGCCGTGTGGCGCTTCTCCAGATCCACTGGGTTACCAGACAGACCTGAGAGAGAGGGAGGAGAAGGAGAGGGAAGAAAAGGAGGAGGAAGGAGAAGAGACAGTTAATAGAGTGAACAGTTATCACAGAAATGCATATAACGAGATCAAAACAATAGATGATGTTGAATATATACACTCACTATAAAGGTATGAAAACATATGCCAACCTGTCAGGGTTAGAAGTCTTTAGGGTATTCTATAGGCAGTGGTGTAAAGTACTTAAGTACAAATACTTGAAAATACTACTTAAGTAGTTTTTTTGGGGCAGCTGTACTTGACTATTTATATTTTTGACAACTTTTACTTTTACTTCACTACATTCCTAAAGAAAATAATGTACATTTTACTCCATACATGAGTGTAGGAGTGTGCCCCTGGCTAACCGTAAATAAAACAACAAATACAATTGTACTGTCTGGTTTTTGCTTAATATAAGGAATTTGAAATTATTTATACTTTTACTTTTGATAATTAAGTATATTTTAGCAATTACATTTACTTTTGATACTTAAGTATATTTAAAATCAAATACTTTTAGACTTTTACTCAAGTAGCATTTTACTTGGTGACTTTCATTTTTACTTGGGTCATTTTCTATTAAGATATCTTTCCTTTCACTCAAGTATGAAAATGGGGTACTTTTTCCACCACTGTCTATAGGTTGCTGTATAGGCCTCGCTACAAATGTCGAAACCGACTCTTTTATAGTCGAATGTCTACATCACCCTTCCTTTATCTGAGGATAAAGATGACAACAATGGCTGTTGCCATACCAAACAGAAACAAGTAGAGCTGACCGTTCAAACACACCCATCCACACCCCATGTCAGCCTCCCACTGCTGTCACAATCTGCTAGACAACCACTGCCAAAGGCTTTGAATTTCAGTTGGACAAAACAACACACATCGGTCCGACAAACATATTATCTAACCCTTTTGTGCATTTTTCTTCAATCAATCCTTTAGATAATATGGTATTGTCCTATTAAGATAAAAATACATTGAATCCACTCTGAGTAAGATATCATCACCTCATGGAAATCTTATGATTCATAATTGTTGCAAATAAATCTAGAAAACAGCAATAAAAAAATACAAAAGAGGTCAGTCAATGAGAACCCATGAGGCGTTTGAAATTATCACAAGGGTGTTGAACTTATTGGGTGCATCCCAAAATGGCACGCTTTTCCCTATAAAGTGCACTACTTTTGACCAGGGCCCATAGGGAATAGGTTGTCATTCGGGACGTAGCCGTCATTACTGTTTCCTGTCCTCTGGGATTGAATGTAGGAAGGATCAGACAGTGAACCAATCATGCTCTAGTCATTCCCACACTGGTCCAGGATTTAACCACTCTCTCTCTCCTTCATTCAATATTTCACTCAGCAGCTTTACACTATGTCCTTGTTGTATCGATCTCACCTATGTAGCTCAGGGTGTATTCAAATAGATCCAATAATGAGATATGTGGCTAGCTATGGATAACTGGAGTGTGTAACTGGTGAGTGTATAGGATACATAGATAGTGTGCTATGCTAACAGTTGCAATATAAGATCTGAATAAATTTAGTCTTTACATGGCTAGCTATGGTATGCTAACTGGTGTATGACTGGTGAGTAGATCCACAACTAAAAGATAGCTAGTTCAGCTAACAGCTGAAGCACCTGGTGTATTACAATACATTGAATGCTGACATACAGAACTGTAGTTAGCTATGCTAACTGGATAAATGTGAGAAGGAGCTGGGTAAGCACAAGGCAATACAGTATGAGTCCCAGCCCTATACGACAGATGCCCCCTAAAACCCCCATCATATTGCTTTCCCTCTGCTGTGAACCAGCTGGACAACCGGACAGGCAGGAGGGAGGGACGGAGGGAGAGAGGAGGGCAGTGGGTGGGGGAGGCAGTGGGGAAGAAAGGCAGAAGGTGAGGGAAGTGTGAGGGGGGGAACTGTCTCGTCTTGCTAAAAACAGCTGGACGTAATGACGTCACACCTAAACAAAAAATTACCTTTTACGCAAAAACCTAGTGTGTCAAATAAAAATGTAGTGGTTGAAATGTTTCCATTATCCATTTAGGCAAATTGCATATTAATACATTGTCGACAGCCTGTATACCCTCCCACCTATCTGTTTAATGTCTCAGGTAGCCAGCATAGATAGAATGCAAGAATTGACTAATATTTGCCATATTCTAATAATTTTCATGTGCCAATGTATCACCACGGTCCGTGCCATGGCGAAACTTGCATCCAGCCAACCAGAAAAGCACGGCGAAGCAATTGAGGCATTCTTGAAAGTCAAGACAATCCATGTCCTGCAAAGAAACATTATTTTTTATAGTTTAAAAATAGATTTAGCAAACAGTAGGAATTTAGAATTAAATGGGGAGTGGAGATTTATAGTTACGTGATGACTTCACGTTCTACGCATACCATTAAAATTATTCGCCAATCATAATTTATTTGAAAAACATCGTTATAATGGACCATTTGGATACTGTTTGGATAGTTTCAAAAAGTGTATGCCTACTATACTCACACAGTCTTCCAGGTGCATGCCCACTGATAAGGCTATAATTGCAACTCCATCACGGTTAAATTATCGACCTTGAATGGAAAACAGCAACCTACAAGCTGTTAATGACATAGCTAGCTAATGACATAAGCATGAAGACACCGGTGGTTTCAAATAAAGCTAGCTTAATGTCACTACACACAAAGGTTCTTTCTTCCCATCTGATCTGCAGGACTAACGTTAGTAGCTTGATGTTTCGGCTGTATCTTTATAGCTAGTTATATCAGATAGGCGAATGCCTATTCATTTGAAGGAAAATCAGTTCAGTTAACTAATGCTAGCAAGCCAATAAAAACTAAGTTAGCTACGCTAGCATTGTGACAGTCCTATCACTAGCTACTTGATTGAAATCTACAAAGATAGAATCTGAGTCTGAGTTCTATACCTCCCGCCTCATCATTCTCCCAAAGATTATTTGAACTATCAAAGGGCGCAGCCATCTTGCCTAGACTCTTGTGTGTGCCACGGTGAACGAGCTATGCAGTAGCTAGCTTAATGAGAGTAGACCACTGCAGGACTAAGCACACTCCTTACATCCTGCCAACACCCCCACGTATAGTAGAATAAACTATAAACGTGGCATGAGTTACAGCCGACCCACATGTATAAGCTAAGATTGAGCTAACGTGTGTGAGTGTGTGTGCTCACTTTCACAGAGGAACTACATAACTATTATGGTGTTTCATTGTGAGAGATGCAGGGTACCCCTGCCTTACGGGGGATGCACACCTTGCCTGCATGACCTGTCTTGGGTTAGATCACAAACGGAGAGCGGTTAGAGAACCCAATAGTTGTTTGGCCTGTGCCGCCTTTGGAGAATGCATGTGCTTAGCACACCTGGAGGGGATGAGGGCCACAGTACAGTCCTCCCCATCTGATGACCGTATTCCCACCTCTGAAGTGATGCGTCATCGCGGCAGCAACCCTTCGGCCTCTTTGGGGACCCCCGCCTCCAAACTCAGTACGGCTGAGGAGTTGATCCACCTCGAACGTCAGGCGGTGGTGACGGAAGCATTTAGCGAGAGTGGCCACCGCCCTTGATATCAAGCTGGAAGAAGCACCATCTGAGCAGCTCCTTATCTCCATCTGCCCCAAGTTCGCTTAGGCTCTCCGCGAATACTGGAGAAAGATGGGAGGGCGCTTCCGTTGCGACAACCAGACCAGGCTGTGGACTCTCATAATGGATGCAGAGTCATTGGGGCTAGACCACTATCCAGAGATAGATGACATGGTGGCTGCCATGATCCTCCCTGACAAGGAGATTGTTGGCAAGGATCAAAGTGTATCTTTGCCACTGCGCGCCCTACCGCCGCCCCTCGGGGGAGCTGGAAGACAGGGCAGGATGTCTCGAGGGCGCTCTAGCAAAGTCTTGGCCCCTCTCCTCCCCCGCTGAGACAGCAGGGGCAGGGAAATGGGAACCAGCGTTTTATACCCCTACAGCACAAGGACAGGCGTCGCAGCGGCACAAAGCTAAGAAGGATGGGCCCCGGCAGTCCTCCTGAGGTGCTGGCGGTCGGCCTTGGCCTTCTCTCCCAGGCCCAAAGGGCAAACTGGGAGAGGCAGGTGGTGTCTCCCTGGGTACTGGGCACAGTCCTGGGGGGATAGTTACGATGCCGACCGGCATCCTACAGAGGCATCTGGGTCACCTTGGTGGCAGATGGTGGTCCTCTGTAGCTCAGCTGGTAGAGCACGGCGCTTGTAACGCCAAGGTAGTGGGTTCGATCCCCGGGACCACCAATACACAAAAATGTATGCACGCATGACTTTAAGTCGCTTTGGATAAAAGCGTCTGCTAAATGGCATATTATTATTATTAATTATTAGATGGGGTGAGGAAGGAGGTGCTCCGGTTGGAGATAGCCTCGCTCCTGAGCAAGGACACAATCAGGAAGGTAAAACGGCTAAGTGGGTTCTACTCCACGTATTTCATAGTTCCGAAAAAGGACACCAGCTTTCGGCCGATCTTGGACCTGCTCGGCCTCAAGAAATGTTTAAAGGTGCTCAAGTTCAAGATGCTCTTGCCAGCGCGGGTGTTGCAGGCAGTCTCGAGCGGCCAATGGTTCACCATGCTCGACCTGAATGATGTACCTCCGGTTTGCCTTCAAAGGAGTGGCTTACGAATTCAAAGTGCTCCCATTCGGCCTCTCACTAGCGCCGCATACATTCATGGACACAGTCCTAGCGCCTATCATGTCCCAGGGCATTCTAGTGCTAAACTACCTGGACGACTGGCTGGTGTGTGATCAATCAAGAGAGTAAGCTACAGCAGACACAAGGATAAGCACATTCAAGACCTGGGCCACACCCTAAACAGGGAGAAGAGCAACCTGACTCCCTCACAGACCGTGGTCTTCCTGGGGATGTTGATCGACTCAACTCTTATGAGAGCACGTCTCCCTCAGGTGAGACTTGGAGAAGATACAGG